ATCATGTATTTAAAAAAGCATAAAACATAATAACTTAACTTATAACAAGGAACAAAAACTTGAAAGCTTATTACAAAGTAGACGTCCTTTTCTGAAAATAAATCATAAATACTTCTACCCATTCTGTTTCAAGTAAATGACTTCTATCGAATTCATTCATCAGCTAAATCTTGAAAACCCCACTCAGACAATTTTCCTCTTGTAAAAGCATCCATAATAATGAGCAGCAGGCTGTTAAAAAAATAGATTTCAGATGAACGTTAAAAAGACGGATATGTTTCTATTATCCTGTAAAATTGATAACTTTTTTTGTAATTTTTCCTTTGTCAAATGTCTCGCCTCGCTAGGTGCAATTGAAAGGTTCAATTATTAATTTTACTGCAATTAATAAACTTACCGTACTTAACAAGAACGAACAGATCAGTAGAAGCCACTTAACTAACACTAACGCGTAGTAACACCATACAAGCGAAGAAACTTATTACACAATATTAGTAAATATTACATACGAGATCACACCCTACTACGGTTCCAGATATGTTTGCAGAACAAAAAACTGAAACGCAATAAATATTTAATAAAAATTGCTACTTTTTTTCCTTATATTTTCTACAAAATTTGTTTAACCTTTCTACAATTTATAATGAAATTCACAAAGTTGTTGTCGTAAATATTTCATTCAAATTGTAATAAATTTGCCTGAGCCCTTGTCGATATTTCTCCTACAATTTACCACTACAATTTTATAGTCAAATTTAAGTTTACCGTTAGTTAAACGTACTACAAACTTGAGTCGCATTTTCTACAAAACGACCTCTACAACGTTATACTAATTTTTCTTACAGCATTTTTCTGAGTGTACGGTGTTGATGAAGTAGTCAGTTAGCCCCCTCCAAACCTTAGCTAATGGATGAATAAAATTTAAATTCAATTTACCTAATAGAGTTTGCAGAATATAAAATCGTCAACCCTCTTTATTTTTGACAAAAATAACCTGACTGTCTACCTAATAGTTAGTCATTCACTTTATCGTATTTTCAAAAATAAAAATCGCTAACTGGTGAGTTTACACCCTTATATTTTCCTTTTCCAAAAAACACCCTTACATCTTTCTTAGAGAATTCGACTTCCAGAAGGTAGTTTTATTTTATAGGTACGCTTTGGAATAATTATTTATTGTTGGGGAGTTTGGGTTAAAACTTTGAAGCTGGTGCTTCCGAGAATTCATAAAATTTTCTCAATTTCCTTTAGAGCTTACATAGTTCGTAGCAGAATAGCAGGAGTTCCTGTTACACAATCAGGTTAACGTGATCAGGTACATACTATTTGCGAGAAAAATTGCAGGTATTATTCTTCGGTGTCGCATCAGTAAGTTATCGCGGTCGCAAAGGCATTAATTTCGAAATACCTACGGACCGTCTGGAACGTAGTAGTCCTGGAGGAACGGCGCTGCGAGTAAATAAGAATTTAAATCTGATAATTTATTAACGTAATAAATATTATCCGTATTAAAACTGCATCGAAGTCAAAAGTCGATAACACAACATTCTGTAGCTAACTCGCCGTTTAAAACGCTTAAATAAAGGCTTTCGATATCCAGGACATTATCAACAAATTCGAATCATTAATTAAAAATTGTTAATTTTGACGTATTCTTGTTGGAAGTAAACAACTGGAAAAAAGTTAGCGGCGCTAAATATCTATATTGGAGTGTGTAGTTGGTTGTATACATTGTAAAACGTGCTACAGGTGGCGTTTACCGCACCATTTGTGGTATTTTATAAAACGCTCTGTTAAGACAGCAGATAAACGTTGGTCTGTGTTCTGTCGAAGCTGTCTGCGACGCGCTGATGAGATTCAAAAAGATCGAAATCGCGATCCGTGTCTGGCAGTTTCGACAGAATACAGACCACTTCGAATTATTTTATACGTGCAATCGTGATATAAATAATTTAACAGGTTGATTCTGGTTACCGATACCGCAATCTCTGTCATAAAATTGTTGTGTCCAAAATAGGTCAGTCCCTACTTGGTAGTATAAACTTGTAACGTCCAAAGCTGATACGCCACGATGCTGAGGTCGTTTAGGAAGATGGCTAGATTACGAGGCGGCCACCTTTTTGCCTCTTTGCGCTCAAAAAAGTTGCACCAGATGGCTGAACATCTGACGCCATCTTCTAATTTTCCTAATGACATCGTCAATCCCTTGGCAGTACACTTACAATATGTGGAATGTATGTTAAAAGCTCCGAGATTTCTTTGACTGAACGCAAATTTGTGAAACGCTTTTGGTAATCTAAGGGAATTAAAATTAATAGCTTTCAGTCTTTAAAGTTGTTTTTAATTTTAGTTTCTTTTTAATTTGGTCTACATTTTATGTAGCTCTAAGGATTTTGTCGCTTATTTTGTGAGGGATTACTAAAAATCCGATGACAATAAAATTAATGAATACGATTTGATGTTCTAGCCTAAAAGTTATCATTTATATTATTAGATACTGTGAACCTACGTGTGGAACAGAGCGTGAAGTAGGAGAGAATGGGATAGGCACTTAAGAAAAAGAATCATTATATAAAGAAAATTAAATATCTTACTCGGATAGGAATATTATGTATCAACTTTAGATATTCAAAACTTTCCACAAGAGAAATCACTTAATTTTGTGATAAAGAGGAACAACAATAAGGGACATAAATTTCCCATCTTGCCCTGTGGTTGGGACATAATGGGAAATAGTATGGGATAAAATGAATATATATTTGATTATGGGCATAATTGTCATATCCATCAGCTCCAACACAAGAATCGTATTATGGGACCAACCATGGCGTATGCTACAAAGTATCCATTCTTTGGGCGATTGCGATTAACTACTAGTAGTAAATACATTCGATTCCGGGTCCGTTTGCCTTAGTCCAGGTTTTTCTGTGATTTCATTGGATCACTTTGGCAGTAGTAGTAATAATAATTTCACAATTGGTATTTCACTTCATTTCGTCCATTTCATCTTTCTCACCTTAACCAACACCCACTGATTCTCACTATTCTTAGAGAAGCTGAAGAGGTCCATTCCCTCAGTTCTCCGACGTAGTTCGGAGAGACTGACCGTCCACCTGTGTTAGTAGTTGATGGGAATGAAACAAGTCTTTTTCAATTGCACTTTTTAATTTTTTCTCCCAGACTTAGTATCCCGTTTCCGCCTCCACCGTTTTGCCCCAAACAACCATATTTTGTACTTAAATCGAGTACTTCTAATCTATATCGGTGACGGCTATGAAAATAGCAAAAACTCGATTACTCGCTTCATAACACGATGTTTGTCACAAA